AGCATACATTGTCACTATCTGCCAACGTTAGCTTTAGCCTTCGTTTTCTAATAGTTTTTTCATAGGCTATAAACAGAGGTGGTATAAGTATAGATCTTGTACTAGATTAAAAGTAGAAGTACTCAGGTCTTGTACTTGAGTAACAGTAGAAGTACTCAGATCTAGTACTTGAGTAAAAGTAGAAGTACTCAGATCTTGTACGTGAGTAAAAGTAGAAGTACTCAGGTCTTGTACTTGAGTAATAGTAGAAACTACCAGAGTGTAGGAAAAGAGCCGTTTTTTGTATTATCTGCGAAATAATCACCATGATAATGATTGACTTTATTGCCAGCAATATACTTTTTTCACAGAAAAATGTATAACTTGCTACATCTCTCAGCCAGCCAAACTACTACTCAAGCAGCATGCGTTATGCCATCATCTATGTCTGTATAGTTCAATGTTAATTGACAATAAATATTGTTGTTTTTTAACTGTACTTTCTTTATTTGATTGGCAGTCAGTTGTGGATTACATGCAGACGTTGATACAGCTACAGGCTACTTCAATATATCACACTAGTTCATAAAGCAAGTTAGACATTTTGATGTTCCGGACCTTTGCATGGGGACATTTTCTCTAACTGGACCTCGTTGAATACCCCTGATCTACGTAACATCACTAGCAGCTAGTTTGAATGACTTTGTATACTGCAGGGTAGCTTGTGAATTTACTCCAGGTGGAACTAAAGTCTGATTTAACACTTGATTATATTTCACATCATTCATCCACATCTGTAAAGTAACTAAAGGGATTAAATACCATTTTCCTCTGAACTGTAGAGGAGTAGAAGTACAAAGTAGCAAAAACATTGAAATACTTAAGTAAAGTACAAGCATCTCAAAATTGTACCCAAGTATAGTACATAGTAATACATTTTCAAAATGCTCAACAGTGCTGCCAAAATTATAAACTGACTGCTACACAATTAAAATAAATGGTTTTATATATTTATATTAGATGTGACTCTTTGGCGTTTCTGTTATTATTAACACTGCTGCTTTAGTTGTTCTGACTGCTAAAATCCTCGGTTATTCCTCATTTTAAAGACGATATTCTGTGGGGTTGGGGGGCTCGGATCCTTGTCCCCTTTTTCATACCTGATGAGTTTGCATCCCTGCACAAGTTCTTAATAAAACTGACACTGTTGGACTCGGTACTAGTCCCCTCCATAGTACATAATGCATGTTTTCTGCTATCTTTGATGAGTGATAAAAAGACAATTTTACCATTAGTTCTTAATGAAATTGATACTGTTTGACTTTGTATCAGTTAGCCTACTACTAACAATACATTGAAGTAATTTTACTGTGTACTTTTTGAGAAATCCTCTGTCAAAGTCCCCTGCTGAGATCCAAAATCTAGCCACTTCTGTTAAGTTTGATGAGGGAATTCTTTTTTGTTGCCATTAGTTCTTCGTGGGATTGATCCTGTTGGACTCAGTACTACTGAAACTACCCCCGCAAGTACTATGAAGTACTTACTGTGTACTTTTCCAGTAATCCTCTGTCAATGTCCCCTCCCGAGTACAAGAATGCATGTTTTTATTTTAATAAGCGTTAAAAAACCTTTCTTCCTGAGACTGATATTGTTGGACAGAGTATTTTAAGAGGATGGTAGACATGATATCAGCAATACTTCCAGTCAGTACTCCGGCAGCAGCATTTTTACACCTTGGAAAGTCTTTAGAGACTGGCCTAGTTAGCTGGTCTATCCTTCAGCACACTGACACACTCTGTCACTCTGGTTGGCCTCTTATGATGCTGCTGTCTTTTAATATATAACTATTCCTCTGCCGCTAGTTCGTTCCTCGCAGATTCTTCATTCTCATCAGCCTCATCCTTCCATCAGTCCCAGTCAACGCCTCCAGCACACTTCCAGTGTCTGACTCCATATGATATTGTCCTGATGCTGTAAGGGTGATGCCCCATGATCACAAAATGACCCCTCTAGAGTCTGAGTGCCAAGGACCTCATATTATGTCTGTCATTAATGTTACATCACCCATTATAACAATTTGCTTTCCTTTTTTCTCTTCTCTTAACTGAATAGTCCTGTTTTTAAGTATAACCCAATGTAAAGGCCTTTTCCTGCACCATTTTAAGGCTTCAAAACAGGCATTTTTACTGTATGAGTTTGGAGAAATGACACAATCAATGGCCCAGAATTGTACTTAATAAACTATGAATCTTGTGGTGCTTGAAGAAATACACACTGGCTAAGCCGGCCAGGATATATGCCTTTTTTGGAGCCCTTTTTTGCAATATTTATTAAAATGTCACTAGTTATTTAAACAAACCACTATCTGAGGATAATACAAGCAACCATAAAACGCCCTTTATCTAGAGAGCCATTGAAGCCCATGAAGAATTTATCCTTCCACAAATCTTTTCAACTGCTGTAATAATAATAAAGTTGCCACGTGTTTTCAAATTCAAGTTAAGGCACTATCTGTGCAGAACATTACAAATATTCTTAATTTGCAGTATTTTATTTTAAAAGTGTTCAGAAAGACTGCATCAATGATATGCTATATCTATATATCTATATAATATCAATATTGTTATTAACTTCAACCAAAGTCAATTTAAATAGCGGGCAAGACTTTCCAAGGGGTACAAATGCTGCTGCCGGACTACTGACTGGAAGTATTGCTGATATCATGTCTACCATATCCTCTTAAAATACTCTGTCCAACATCTCATGAAGAAAGGTGTTTTAACGCTGATTCAAAATAGCAGAGAAACATGCATTATTGTTCTCAGGAGGGGACATTGACAGAGGATTACTCAAAAAGTACTTCATAGTACTTGTGGGAGTAGTTTCACTACTAGCCTACTGAGTCCAACAGGATCGATCTCACGAAGGACTAATGGCAGAAAAAATAATAACAAACTGGAGAGACGGCTGAGCTGACCGCAGTGCAGAATCGCTGTATAGTTTAAATCTCCTAACAATGTTGTCCTATTATATTTACAGCCCTTAATAACATTCACTTTCTGGGCTCAATATGTGTCTTGGCTGTTTTCGTTGTGAAAACAAATGGACCGTAGATACACGGATTGACCGTCCTCATCTGCGCTCTTATTTTGTAAGGTAACTTCCGGTAGCAGAATATGAAAAAACTGTTTTTTTTTTTGTTTCTGTTTTCTAGTGATTTTATTTTTTGTTTTGAGAAGTAGAAAATGAAAATCATCCCGTTTTTTAAGTTTAGTAAATGCCTTTTTGACCATGATAAAGAAAAACGCCTTGTATTTCAATCTTGGTTTTTCAATTTTAAAACGAAAATCAAATATCCAGTCGTTTTTTGTTTTTGAATATCCATTTGTGAAAAGAAAATCCAATGACCAAAACATACACTGACCAAGCCGAGGAGACCAAAGCTGACCAAAGAATTAGGGATGCTCCGATCGCCAATTTTGGGGCCGATCGCCGGAATCAGTATCGGCCGATACCGATCACCGATCCGATCGAGTGGGCGGGGCCTATGGGGATCTTCCATTTAAAGTGATGTTTAAAACTCAGTTAATGGGGCTCATTCACTGGCGCTTCCACAAACAACAACCAACATAATTATTACATTCAAATGAAGTACATTATTCAAGTTTACATTAACTTTGGATAATAACACGGGAGAAATGAGCAGAAGCGCTCTCTTTTCCTCTCTCCCCCTCTCTCTCCTGACAGCCTGTCAGTATCTCATGCAGCTCACTGATCCACGAATGAGTGACCCGACAGTGAAGAATAAACATATTTATAACTAGTTTAGCTTGTTCCAGAGGTAGATAAAATAGCTAAGTGTGTTAGGTCTAACTCTTAGTGTGTGTTGCTCCGCTCACCGGTCCGTCACAGCGGGTGGAGCTGCAGGATTTCTGCTTCACACACGTTGCATACCGCTATTTTATTGTCATTTTCGGACACCTTCAAATACTGCCAGACTGGTGAAGCCATTTTGGCAAGCTTGTTTTGCCGCGCACAGAGAAAAGTGTCATGTATTTTACGTCATGCGATCGGCTCTCGCGATCGGCATTTTTAGAGAGCACCGATCGATCGGCAGAGAGTGAGTATCGGTCGATATCGATCGGCGGCCGATCGATCGCAGCATCCCTACAAAGAATACAACATTAGACCACACAGTCTGTAGTTGATGGGTGTGTGTGTGTGTGTGTGTGTGTGTGTGTGTGTGTGTGTGTGTGTGTGTGTGTGTGTGTGTGTGTGTGTGTGTGTGTGTGTGTGTGTGTGTGTGTGTGTGTGTGTGTGTGTGTGTGTGTGTGTGTGTCTAATACAATTTAAAATAAATGTAGACATTTGTGAACTGACATTTTGTTTTGGTTTTAACAAGGAATTGCAACAAATTATAATAATAGACCATCGATCACTCTTTTTTGGCACTTCCACATGTGGCCAGACAAGACTTAAAGCCTTAATAAAGAGTGAGTCTGGAGGCAGTGGATTGACAGACTCTGAATGTTGTGTTTGCAACACGAACCGATGAACCCTAGTTGTTGTGCCTTTAAACATTCCGAGAAAATAACATCCTAAATTTGAGTAAACCTTTAAACCCCCATATATGCATATGCGTAAAAATGCATATATGCTTTTTTTTTTCTTTTTTTAATTAATTTTAGATAGATTCTGGATAATTTGGATTGGATAGATTGCCTATTTATTTGAAAAATAATTGTCTACGTTCTGGTTTAAACATTTTGTATACTGAAATGTCAGAAATGCATTCAGTATCCTCAATAACCGCAAAACCACTCCAAAATTGTCCAAATCCGACAAACCACCTTTAACTGTTATCCACATATTTATATGTGCTGAGGACCCGTACTATACATTTCTGACATAAGAGTATGGGGTACTCAACATTTCCGGGTTCTCGGTGCTGGCAACTACACTGATATGCTTTGTGAGCGGAATAAGCACTCAGATCACACTTTTGATATCTGAATCAACAGTGGCTTCAAAAACAAGCCGAAGCCAGGCGTGCAGGAAATGCAGACGTTGAGGAGCTGAAGGACCTGAGGGAGGAGGAGAGGAACCCTGAGTGGTTGAAGGACAAAGGAGAGTAAGTGCTATAACAGCTACTCACTGCACCAGTTCTTGTTATTTTAACCATGCGATCACTGAATGACTCTTCCCTGCAGCAAGTGTTTTGCTTCTGGAGACTTCCTGGGGGCAGTGAATGCCTACAACCTGGCCATCAGGCTCCACAGCAAGATCCCAGCACTGCACTCCAACAGGGCAGCTTGTCATCTGAAGTTAAAAAATCTCCATAAGGCCATTGAGGATGCTTCTCAGGTGTGCACTCTCCCTGTATTTGACATTAACAATAACAGTTATAAGGAGAGTCCAAAGAACTGTCTTGTTGGAAACTGTAACTTTGCACCCAAGGTTTGTACCACTGCTGCCTAAAGCTCATTGAATGTGCATCTAGCTATTATTTAAAGCAATACACATCTCCCTCCTTGTTTCTGTGTAGGCTCTGGATCTGCTGACCCCAGCCGTCCCTGCCAACGCAGCAGCCAGAGCCAGGGCCAGCGTCCGCCGGGGGTCCGCCTTCTGTCAGCTACAGCTCTATGCAGAAGGTTTGAAAAGCAACAGGAACATTTTATTTGCTACTGTTACCTTACAACTTTGCATTTTTTGACTTGGTTTTAATGAAACATTCACAATAAGAATGTTCTCAGGGCTGCAGGACTACCAGGCCGCTCTGAAGCTGGACCCTCACAATGCAGCGCTGCAGGCGGACACTCAGACCATCAGAGACATCCTCCAGGGCTCTGCATCTGGGACGCACTGAAACACACAGAATGCTACTCTTTTTATTTTTCTCTGTTACCCAATGGTTTTATAAATGACACAAAAGAACCAAAGGCTGCTGCATATGAATCAAAATGAAGGACATGTGTTGAATTGTTAGTGTGATTACTGATTACTGGTAGACAGTGTGTGCAGAACAACGTTGTGTTGGTTGTACCACCTAAAATGATAAGCGATTAAATGGATGTTCATCACCATGTAACCTGATTGAATAAATTACTTTCGAAAACAAGTTTTCAGTATAAATGTCACTCACAGGAGTAAAATGTGTAAGTTTGAAAAATATTATAAGAGATGGTACATTTTGTAAATTACAGTAGAGTTTAAAAATAACATATTACTAACTCAGTGGCGAGCCGTGACTTTTATACCTAGGCCCTCTGACCCCCACCCCTTCCCTCGAAAAAAAATCACAGCGTATACTTCAGCAGAATATCAAAACAAAACGCATCAATGACAGCGACCCTCTACCACACAAAACAACACCTGTGAACCCAATTTGTGTTCTTTGACATTGAAAATGATATTGCATTGTGTTTGTTACTTTCGTTGCAGTTGTATGTCTTAAGTGTAATTTGGCATGCTTTTATTTTGAAGGCGAGTTTACGCTGTTGACAGGAAGTTGCTATGGAAACAAGAAAAGCTTCACAGCGGGCGGAACTTGTCATAAAGTCTGCGATAATAAAACCCACCCATTTAGAGGGAAGATATGATTGGTCAATTGTACTGTCATTTGACATTACTCTCTCGTTCAGTTACTATAGCGGGCCCTCTGTGAATTCACAGCAGGACCAATCAGCTCCTGTCTGCACCTCGCAGAGACAAGCTTCTTTCATTTACCCCTTCACATTCAAACAGAAACTGAATAGGCAGATTCGAAGGATTTATATCTTTGGAACTGCTATTTTAAATAAAATTAAATCAAGTTATTTTGGTAAAACTAATGAAAAATATAACTAAAGAAATATTGGAAAAATATATATTTTTTAATGTTTTTAAATATTATTTTGTAGAATATCTTAGGCCCTCAGAGAGGGCCTAGAGGGCCCTGACGGCTCGCCACTGTACCAACTATGATAAACTATGTAATACTACTAGTAATTTAGTTAACACAACAACCACAGTCCATTTCTTTTAAACGCTTCATACAGTTGGGTTTTTAAAGCTGCATTACTGCTTTATTAGAGCAGAAATCATTGGAAACCCAGTAGAACACTCAACTCTGTGTTGGCTAAATCCAAAGTTATAAACAGCATTGCTGTCAGGGTAAAGTTTAAATTAAGTCAAAACTGAGCGTTTAAAACGTATCAGTTGAAACTAGTACTGTTACTTTATGACACTGATAATACTTGTGTACTTTTACTTTGGTAGGATTTTGAGTGCAGGACTTTACTTGTGCAGTAATGGCTTTATTTACATTAATGTAAAGTGATGTACTTCATGTAAAGAGACTCATTACTTTCAACAAAGCCAGGTGTGTGTTTGTGGTTGAGACAGAAGTGGTGACCTAACCTGGCTCATCAATAATACTAATACTAATAATAATAATAATAATAATAATAATAATAATAATAATAATAATAATAATAATAATAATAAGTGACCTAACCTGGCTCAGCAGAGGATTTTCTTAGTTACAGACTGACCGCTCACCCAATCCTCACTCCACTGACTCAACAGTAGATTATAACGCTGACAGCAGAATGGAAGGATTTGCACATTGCTGCATTTAGTTTGAAACAGACTTTCTGTGACTTTCTTGGTTTGATACTGAAGTGCAAATTGAGGTCAACTGATGGGACCAAACAGTGGGTCAGGACCCGGTGCTGGGTCATGGGAAGGCTGCTGTCTCTAAACGATTCTGCAAAAAAAAGGTTTGGTTCTTTATTCTAACCCGCCAGCTCTTTTATCAACTGCAGTTTTTTTTAAATTCCTTTAGCATGACATAATATAGTCATAACTCAATCAATGCAGGTAAGCAGTCTACTAAACCGAGTTTACAAGCTTTAAAATGTGGCTCTACTGATCTGCAGATCAGAGCTCCAATCCTGCCAAACATGTGAGTGTGTGTGAAGTGGCACTTGAAGACCTCGACCACACACCCTGCCCTCTGTCAGCACACACAATCCAAATCTGTAAACACCCTGCAAAGCCGCTTTTCTTTTTTTTTTGCCATCAATTTTCAGTTTTTTTTCTAATCCCCTCATCAAATGTGCCAGAATCTTCTCAAAGAATTGGGAATAGTTGAAATTCAGAGTCCAAAGAATGGCATCATTAAGAGGCTTTGATTGGTGGAGCACCTTCATTGTGGCAGGCAGTCTGAGTGAATGAGAGTCAGTGAAGGACTACTCTAAGCGTTTGAAAAGATAAACACTATCCCAGCGATAAGATGAAGTGTTATTACAGAAGACTATTGAAAGTCTTTGGAATGGAGCAAATGGAGATGCATGCTGGGAATTAACTAGGCGACTTAGCTGTGGTACGAAAAGTAGAAAGGTTTTGATGACATTCTATCAAATCTCTGGAGCAGGGATCCAACACAAATACTCTCAGAGGCACAAGGCCACAACATGTTGATTTACACATTTATGTTTCAACATGTTTCACTCCATCAACTATGTCCATGGCATGCTCTAGATTTGTTTATGTTGTTGGTTATGTTTACACAACCAAACCTGTTTTCAGTGTAGTAGTAGTAGTGCTACCTCATGTAAAAATGCAAAGCTTTGCTAATGCTGTTAGGAAGTACTATTGATGATTAAATGTTTGCATCTTGCAGGCTTCCAATTGTGAGTGGACCATTTAACCACAGTCATGTGTATTTTTGCAGGATATTAAAGGTGGGGTAGGTAATTTTGGAGAAACCAGCTCGAGTGCGCTAGAATTTGAAAATACACAGCCGGAAAAAATCTGCCACTTCCTTACAGAGCCCCTTCTCCAACACACACGAACGCACACATGACCAATGAGGGCACGAGATAAGTTTGTGCACAGATGGAAGGCTGACAGGCAGGTAGGCCATCCAGTTATTTTAGCCGGGCGGCTAAAATGATTGGTCGTGCTTTTTACAGTATTACGGCTTCCACAGATGACATTTATTTAGGGATTTTTTGTCAAAGCACTTAAGATATTCATTGCTATCGGGATGTTAAGAGCATTCCATGGAATATAACAAGTGTATCTCGAGCCGGTTTCTCAAACTTACCTACCCCACCTTTAATATAATCCTTATAGTTGCAATTAAGCAGCTGCTAAATGCTCCTCCAGCTCATTCAACAGATATTTTGGTGGAGTTATAGAGACCGAATCTTAGCTGAAAGGAAAGTGAGTGTTAGAATTCGATTAAACCAAAACTAGCTCAAGCTTTGGATAAAGTCTTGCACAAAGTGTCCCCACCAATGATTGCCACACATACAGTAATACTTATATTTATTGTCTCACACTGATGGTTGTTAAGTATTTTGCTGTTTTGTGTGTATGTTTTATGGTTGATTTTTGTCACATTCCCTGGTTGAGAAGTTATCTAAACGCACACCGAGACGACATGCTATTATTTTGAGTGGTTTCTGTCTGATGAAAAGAATAAAAGGATTTAACATATTCATCGAAATGTTGGATGAAAGGATATGACATTTTAAATGTATCTTGACAGTGTACACTATTCATTATAATTCTTATCATTCTTATCAATTATGTAAATATTATTTGATGACATCTGTGGAGGATCTGTCTAAATTTGTAATATGTTTATTTTCCTGCTGAATAAAGCATGCGATAAATGTGAAATCCATGTCTAATGCTAACTGTCCTAACACCAGTTCAAAAGAGCATAACAACCCACAGCAAAGATGAAAACATGGAATTTTGGGATGTGTTTTTGCTCTACATTTTTCCCAACCTAACCCTAACCCAACATAGGACACACCTACCAATACCTGCAGTTGCGTTATCACGAATGTTCTGCAAGTGCGAAATAGTGTGTATTACTTTAGAAATGTTATGTTATTTATAATGGTAGTTGTTTGCATGAGAAACACTGACTTGAGGTCAGAGTTGAGCCTCAGAACAGAACAGGTCACCTTGGGTTATTCAAATGTGCAATGCTCTTCATTAAATATGAAACTGTGCAAAACTCACATCAGTTAGGAAATATTATTGTATTACATTGTACATTTCAATCAATATTCAGTTTTTTCAATACTTTCTTTCTTATTTCTAGTCTTTGAATTGTTATTGTATTGTACATTGCCTTGTCTTCTTATGCTGCTGTAACACAAACATTTGCCAAATTGGGATCAATAAAGTACCATCTTATCTTATTATTACTAATATTTAGTGAACTACATAGTTTTACATATCTTGTATGCCTTGTTGCCGCATATTGAACCAGCTCGAGTGCGCTAGAATCTGAAAGTATGCAGCCGAAAAAAATCTGCCCCTTCCTTCAGACTTCCTTATAGAGCCCCTCCTCCAACACACACGAACGCGCACATGACCAATGAGGGCACAAGATAAGTTTGTGCACAGATGGAAGGCTGACAGGCAGGTAGGCCATCCAGTTATTTTAGCCGGGCCGGCTAAAATGATTGGTCGTGCTTTTTACAGTATTACGCCTTCCACAGATGACATTATTTTATGTATTTATTGTCAAAGCATTTAATGTATTCATTGCTATCGGGATGTTAAGAGCATTCCATGGAATATAACAACAAGTGTTTCTGAAATAAATTACATACCCCACCTTTAATCAAACTCGTGTTTTTATAAAGAAAATCTAAATCTCCCCAGCATAAAGTGCGTGCTTCTGTGTGTGTGTGTGTGTGTGTGTGTGTGTGTGTGTGTGTGTGTGTGTGTGTATGTGTGTGTGTGCGTGCGTGCGTGCGTGCTGACCTATTGTAGTGTGTGTGTTTGATTGGCAGCCGGCCGGCCCTGCTGGCTGGGTGCTGCTCTGACTGGCCAGGATCATCTGGAGGTCTTTATCCCCGCACGCTGAGCAGGACACACACTGCTTCTTCTGGACACTACTCTTTAACCCATTTAATACACTTGAACAAAGGCAGTGGACCCCCATGTATACATGTTCCTGCACCATAGAACAGCTTGGAATTTAACCAAAGTTAGGGCCAGTTGGCCCCTACGTGACATTGTGGTTGTATTTGTCCTTCTGAAGGTAACGCTCAATTATAAAGAAGGAAAAATGTGTTTTTAATTTGAACAACATTTCCT